CACAACGGTCTGCTTTCTCAGTCCACTCATTTCTCATGGAAAAGCCCAGGAGGAAAAAAAAAAAAGGCCCGTCAGGACATCTGCTGCCCAGTGTTCTTGGGCGTCCTCCAGCCACGAAGGCAGTGGTCCGCCCTGCAGGGCCTCCCTCCAGGGCAGCGGGCGATGTCTCCTGCAGGACCAGACGGGGAGTTCGCTCGCCACGACGGGGATTGGGTTGCACACTCTGCCTTCAGCCCAGACCTTTCTCAGGCCATTAGCGAGTCATGGATCAGATCCCGCGTCTCGGGGTTGGGACAGAGCTAGACGGTGAACTAAAGCCCGCCCAATGGGGCAGGGAATATCAGGCGTCACTGGTGGTCGGCAGGGATTGGAACCGCCTTCATGGTGGGAACCTGCTGGGAAGGGCCAAAGCCCCCCAGGTGGGGACACCGGGAGACCCCACCCACACCCGCCATGGGCATCGTCGCCACACCCCTGCTCAGGGACACTTGGGTGGGGGAGGCAAAACGGGGCTTTGCTTCTCTCCAAGGAGACGGTGTTATTTATTTATTTATTATTATTATTTTAAAAGACATTTTTATTGATTTCAGAGAGCAAGGGAGAGCAGGAGAGAGAAACATCAGTGATGAGAGAGAATCATGGATAGGCTGCCTCCGGCACGCCCCCTACTGGGGATGGAGCCCGCAACCCCTGCATGTGCCCTGACCGGAATCGAACCCTGACCTCCTGGTTCATAGGTCGATGTTCAACCACTGAGCCACGCCGGCCGGGCGAGACAGGTGTTATTTAGAGACAGAACTCAGAGGCCATAGCTCAGGACCTCTTAATGGAGCCTGGACTTGGCCTCCTGGGCCCTCGCAGACATAGCAAGTGCTCTTGGTGCCAATGTTTAAAGAAGTACCACTTTCTCCCAGAAGAGAAACTCTAAGGCAGTGGTTCTCAACCTTCTGGCCCTTTAAATACAGTTCCTCATGTTGTGACCCAACCATAAAATTATTTTCGTGGCTACTTCATAACTGTCATGTTGCTACTGTGATGAATCGTCATGTAAATATCTGATAGGCAGGATGGTCTTAGGCGACCCCTGTGAAAGGGTCGTTCGACCGCCAAAGGGGTCGCGACCCACAGGTTGAGAACCGCTGCTCTAAGGCATCCCCGCCAAGGCCGGTTGCTGCTGCTTTTCCGACTGCTCTGTGGTGTCCTCTGACCTCCCTTGCCTGTCGGGGACCTCCGGGCTTTGACTCAGGGGCGCCTTTCCCTGCGCGGGGCTGACCTGACCGTGGGCAGGGGCCGGCCTAGCGTCTGGGCGTCACGTCTGGGTGTCACGCCTGCTCTGCCCTGGGGGCAGGGGGTCCTCTGAGTCACATCTGGACGGTGGGTTGGTTCCCTTTGGGGCAGGGCTTAATCACATTTCAGTGTTGAGTGTTTGGAGCCGCACTGGGGCCGAGGGCCTCAATTAATTTCTGTCAGGGGCCTGCTTGGCTTGGCCTCTGATTTGAAAAACTGCCCTTTTCTGTATAGATGGCCGCTTCTCAGTGGTCTTGGCTGTTCTGGTGATGTGAGCGTCCGCCTTTCATGCCCTCCAGGCAAATGCCTGCCCCCAAATCTCCCTCCATTTCCCTCCCTGCGGCCCTTTCCTGTAATGAAGACGGAGGTTTTGCACTTGAATGTCGGCAAAAAAAGCACGGGTGTTCTTTTTTTAAAACATATTTTTTAAATATATTTTTATTGATCTCAGAGAGGAAGGGAGAGGGAGAGAGAGATAGAAACATCCGTGATGACGAGAATCACGGATCAGCTGCCTCCCGCACGCCCCCTACTGGGGATGGAGTCCACAACCCGGGCATGTGCCCTCACCAGGAATTGAGCCGTGACCTCCCGGTTCATAGGTCGACGCTCAACCACTGAGCCACGCCGGCCGGGCTCCTTGCAGTATTTTATATACATAAGTTATCTAGCACTTAAAACATTCACATATTGCCTTCTACTTTCAGTCCCAAAAACGGGAACATTATTTGTCACAGAACAAATTTAACCTCCTTTCCTCCTTAAAGACTTATTCTAACTTAAGTAAAATTGCATTATCTGTTCTGAAAACAAATGCTGTGCATTTATAGCTAAAGGGTGCTCAGGGAAAGATTTCCATCCGTGCAGAGCCACTTGCCAAATCTTTTGTGACTCCCCGTTGGTCAAAGCCGCGCAGGACACGAGCGTCAGTAAGACCAGCCCGACCTTCGCTTCAGAGAAGCCTGACGCTTCTGTGACTGGCTCTATAAACTGCGAGCTCCCACGAGAGAAGGTTTTGGTAACAAACAAAATGTAACCGGGAGTCAAAAAACGATGTTGCTTGCATCTGGCAGATACATCAGCCTGTTTTTCTGAAATGCTTTTATGCCTGGAAAGTTGTTGCGCATACCAAAAAAGGAAGGGTTTCTAGCCCCAACGAAACACGTGAGAGCAGCCTGCCGTGTGCTTGACTGGACAAAGGCGTGCAAATCACAGAATCGCGGGCTACATATCACTAGCTCCACTCGTTCCTAAAACTTGGGCTTCCAGTATGGTTACGTTTTGGGGGTGTTTTTTTCTCCCTGGAAATTTATTTTTCCTTCCGTCGAGTCTCTGTTGCTTTATGGAAATGATGGAGCATCTCTTCGATCTGCCGTGTTGCCACCTGAGTTGCTCAGAAATCTCTCTCGTTGGTCTGCGGTGGAGGTGGGAGGAGCAGAGCAGCCACCTTCCCGCCTGGGACACGGGAGGAACCAGGGCCTGCTCACGGTGGGGCGGGCGTGGGAACGTCGGGCCCGCAGGCCATATAAGGCCCGAGAACTCATTGGGTCGGGCCCTGCCAAGGCAGTAGGGGTGACTTCATTAAATGTTTGACTGAATAGAGCAGGCTAATTTTTTTTACAATATATTTTTTATTGATTTCAGAGAGGAAGGAAGAGAGAGAGAGAGAGAGAGAGAGAGAGAAACATCGATGATGAGAGAGACTCATGGATCGGGTGCCTCCTGCACGCCCCCTCCTGGGGATGGAGCCTCTGCAACCTGGGCATGTGCCCTGACCGGGAATCGAACCGTGACCTCCTGGTTCATAGGTTGACGCTCAGCCATTGAGCCACACCGGCCGGGCTAGCAGGCTAATTTTTCAGTGGCTCCTTTTGTATGGCCCACAAAGGACGTCACAAACATTCAAATGGCTCTTGGCAGAAAAGAGGTTCCCCACCCCTGTTCCAGAGGGTCCCCTGTACTGGGGCAGTGCCTCGCACACAGTGGTTCTCAGTATTTGCTGGCTGAAGGGCTCTCTTTCCACCTCCCCCACAGGCAGCAGTGCCTGGCTGCTTGGTACCTCAGTGGCCATGACCATGAGTGGGAAGGTCAGGTGGGGCCAGCTCAGCTTTGCTACCCCTGGTCCTGCTAGTCCCAAGGGTGGGGTCTGAGTCATACCTCCTGCCTAGTGCGAGTGCTGATTTTTTAAAAATATTTTTATTGCCCTGGCCGGTTTGGCTCAGTGGATAGAGCGTCGGTCTGCGGACTCAAGGGTCCCGGGTTCGATTCCGGTCAAGAGCATGTACCTTGGTTGTGGGCACATCCCCAGTCGGGGGTGTGCAGGAGGCAGCTGATCGATGTTTCTGACTCTCTGTCCCTCTCCCTTCCTCTCTGTAAAAAATCAATAAAATATATTTTAAAAAATATTTTTATTGATTTCAGAGAGGAAAGGAGAAAGAGTGAGATAGAAACATCAGTGATGAGAGAGAATCATTGATGACAAGCGCTGATTTTGGACTTCAAGATTGATCGGTTCTTTATTTGGGATCTTAACTAGACAAAAAAAAAAACAACACAAAAAACCCCAAAAACAAAACAATCACAAAACTCTTATTTTGCACCTTTCTTTGTAAGGAATTTACATGCAAAAGATGCCTTTTATGAAAACGACTTGGCCTTGGGCAAAGTTATTTAAAGAATTCATCCTTGGAGAGCAAAACTTATTTTTTTTTTCCCTTTTTGAAAAAAAGAAAAAGAGAAGAGAAGGCCGTTCTCTCTCAAGGATGCAGGGTTTCTGCAGCTGCCGGAAAGTTCCCCTGGCTGGGAGCTCTCTCCAACACGTGGAGCCACCGTTTCCAGGCGAAAAAAGGGTGTTTTTCTACAAACCGACCCTTTGCTTTGGCTGAAGGGAAAAAAAGTGATCAGAGAAGAATTTGGGAGGGCCTGGGAATTTTATGTAAGTCTGTGTGTGTGTGCAAACTTTAACCCAGGGCTCCTCAAACTTTTTACACAGGGGGCCAGTTCACTGTCCCTCAGACCGTTGGAGGGCCGGACTATAGTTTTAAAAAAAAACTATGAACAAATTCCTATGCACACTTCACATATCTTATTTTGAAGTAAAAAAACAAAACGGGAACAAATACAATATTTGTATTTGCATGTGGCCCGCGGGCCGTAGTTTGAGGACCCCTGCTTTAACCCGCCACCTAGAGCCCGGCCGGTGTGGCTCAGCTTCTACTCATCCAGGCAGTGAAACTGATGACCTAGCAAAGTCCATCTCTGTTGTTCAGCGAAGGCAGGCGACCTGGATGTGACACAGGAATACACCGTTTGCAGGCAGGGACAGCTTTTAGATCATCTCGGGCCTGGCCTGCGTGGCTCAGTGGTTGAGCATCCACCTAGGAACCGGGAGGTTACCAGTTCGATTCCCGGTCAGGGCACATGACTGGGTTGTGAGCTCGGTCCCCAGTAGGGGGCGTCTGGGGGGCAGCCCATTGATGATGCTCTCTCATCACTGATATTTCTCTCTCTCTCTTCCTCTCTGAAATCAATAAAAACATATTAAAAAAAAAAAAAGCCTGGCTAGACCCGATCACTGACCTCGCTCAGCCCCCTCCCACACCGGTGAGCGGCCCCGGCTCCCCTGTGACGGTGCAGACCCCTCACTGGCCGGTGGAGAGTGTCCTTTCTCGCAGGGAGGCTCCGTGGAGGCCCGCTCCGTGCTCGGGGTTGGGAATCGCGCCGCCGCCACGGATTGATCTCACGCCTTCCTTGTTTTCTAGAAAAGAAGAAGCCGAGGAAGGGCGGGCCGTCGCCGGACTGGCGGGAGCGGAGGAGCGCCATCCGGCTCACCAACGAGCACACCGTGGAGACCCTGGTGGTGGCCGACGCCGACATGGTGCAGTACCACGGGGCCGAGGCCGCACAGAGGTTCATCCTCACCGTCATGAACATGGTGAGTCCTGGCGGGTCCCCACCCAGGCAGGCAGTATCCTCATCTCCTCCTCCGTTCAGGGGGAGGCAGGCCCACATGGCCTGGGATCCCGGTGGGGGGGGTGGGGTGGGGGGGGCTGTCGGGCGTGCCCACGGTGGATGGCGCTGTTTGACTGCCTGGGTCTGCATGGTGAGTGGGCCCTGCCCGCCACCCCTTTTGGAAGCCATCCAAGCCCCTTGCCGTGCGGGGGACCCCTCCCCTGGGATGAAGAGCCCAGTGAGCCCCGTCCCTGCTCTCCCTGCTCTGAGGAGTCCAGTCTGGTAGGAGGAATCGAGATCAAAATTTAACGCAAAACAGATTCCGCCCGGCTGGTGTGGCTCAGTGGTTGAGCATCGACCTATGAACCAGGAGGTCACGGTTCGATTCCCTGTCAGGGCACAGGCCCAGGTTGCGGGCTCCATCCCCAGTAGGGGGCGTGCAGGAGGCAGCTGATCCATGACTCTCTCTCATCAGTGATGTTTCTGTCTCTTTCCCTCTCCCTTCCTCTCTGAAACCAATAAAAATATGTTAAACAACAGCAACAACCACAAAAACAACAACAACAAAAAAACCAGGTCCTGCCGTGCGCAGCGAAGCCTGGCGGGAAGCGGGACCTCCGATGCGTGGAGTCTCGCTGTCTGTTTCCTTTTGTGACCACCCTGGGGTCGCGCCCCCCTTCAGGCTGTTGTGGAGGAGGCTGCGGTGACCGTGGGCGTGCAGATAACCCGCCTGAGCCCCTGCCGCGGTTTCCTTTTAGGGATTCACCCAGCGGTGGGATCGCTTTTGCTAACTCCTCGCGCTGCGTGTCCCTGGTTTCTGAGAAGGGTTTCTGTCTTTCCTGTGCCGAAACCCGGTCGCCCTGGTGGCTGGGTAATGACCGGGTGCGGCCTCTAGTCCACCCAGAGGAAGCCCAGACAGCGGGCTGGGGGCCTGGCCCCGCTCCCGACTCCTCCATCTGCGGATAATTTCATCTCATTTATTTCTTTTTCAATTGTCCGGGTCATGAATGCAAGGAATAAACCTTCATTATAACAACTGAAGTAGTCATAAGACAAAGATCCTATTTTTATATTTCTTTTATAATTTCTCTTTTTTAAAAAAAATACATTTATCGATTTCAGAGAGGAAGGGACAGGGAGAGAAATAGAAACATCAATGATCGGCTGCCTCCTGCATGTCCCCCACTGGGGATGGAGCCTGCAACCCCGGGCATGTGCCCTGACCGGGAATCGAACCTCGACCTCCTGGTTTTTAAGTTGATGCTCAACCACTGAGCCAAGCTGCCGGGCCTGCTTTGTGTTTTAAAAGATCCCTCCGCCTGGCTCTTATCCAGGGACGTGGAGGCCTGCTCCGAGCTCTGTGTCCCCAACACACCACTCACCTGCCCAGGTCCACGCAGAGGGAAAAGCCTCTTGCCAGCCATCCTGGGGGTCCCCCAGCGGGAAGCGCAGAGAGAGGGGGTGCTGTGTCCCCGGCTTTCGGCTTCCCACGGTTTTCCAAATGTTGCCTAGTGTCTTTTTCCACACGTGACTTGCTTTTCCTGCGGTTGGGGGCAGGGCGCGGTGACACAGGAGCAGGGATATTCTAAAGAACAAATCGTCGCCGGGGCCGGAGAGCTGACAGCAGCAGGCCTGGGTCTGGGCAGCCCCGTTGGAAAATGGGCCCCTGGACAGAGCGTCAGTTGTTCTCAGCTTCCTTAACAACCACCGGCAGAGTGAGACGCCGATGTGTTCCAGGCAGGTTCCGCGCGGAGGGAAAATGACATCAATTTTACTCAGTGACCAGGCGGAACGGATAAGAGGCCTCTCTCTGGCGACCAGAGAGGTCAGCGCGGTGTGTGAGCACCCCTGGTCCTCATACCCTGTGGCCTCCCAGGGTGTTGGGGGGCGAGGGGGTGATTGTTAAATGCAGCCGGCGGGGCCCAGCCCAGGGTCTCAAGCCATAGGCCTGGCCCGGGCTCCAAGTCCCCAGGTGATGTTGGGGCTGCTGCTCCAGGGACCCCACGAGAGGTGCTGTGGGAGGGAAACACCCCCTCCTGTGTGGGGTCCGAATGGCACCCTAATTGCAGAGTGTCACTCTCAGCCCCCAGATGCCCCTGGGGAGGCCCTGATTCACACGGGTAGGGGGTGCAGTTCTGAAAACCCCTCTTGGGCCCGGCCGGTGTGGCTCAGTGGTTGAGCGTCGACCTGTGAACCAGGAGGTCACGGTTCGATTCCCGGCCGGGGCACATGCCTGGATTACAGGCTTGATGCCCAGTGTGGGGTGTGCAGGAGGCAGCCGATCCATGATTCTCTCTCATCATTGATATTTCTCTCTCTCTCTCTCTCTCTCTCTCTCTCTCTCTGCCTCTCCCTTTCTCTCTGAAATCAATAAAAAACGTATGTTTAAAAATAAGGTCTGTGGGGGGGGGTTTTCCCCTCCTCCGCGCTCCCGCGCCAGGAGAGCAGGTGGGGGAGCCCCCACCACAGCTAATGTGGCCTGCCCCCCCTCGGGGGGGAG